ACAACCTTTAGTTTTCTTGGGTATGAATTATTCTCTGCAGATCCTCTCAAGCTCTGTCAGGTTGGGTGGGGAGCGTCGCTGCACAGCTATTTTCAGGACTCTCCAGAGATGTTAGATCGGGTTCAAGTTCGGGCTGTGGCTGGGCCACTAAAGGACATTCAGAGACTTGTCCCGAAGACACTCCTGCGTTGTCTTGGCTGTGTGCTTAGAGTTATTGTCCTGTTGGAAGGTGAACCTTCACCCCAGTCTGAGGTCCTGAGCATTCTGGAGCAGGTTTTCATCAAGGATCACTCTGTACTTTGCTCCGTTCATCTTTCCCTCGATCCTGACTAGTCTCCCAGTCCCACAGCATGATGCTTCCACCACCATGCTTCACTGTAGGGATGGTGCCAGGTTTCCTCCAGACAAAACGCTTGGCATTCAGGCCAAAGAGTTCATCAGACAATAGAATCTTGTTTCTCATGGTCTGAAAGTCCTTTAGGTGCTTTTTGGCAAACTCCAAGTGGGCTGTCATGTGCCTTTTGGTGGAGTGCTGCATAGATGGTTGTCCTTCTGGAACATTCTCCCATCTCCACAGAGGAACTCTGGAGCTCTGTCAGAGTGACCATCAGGTTCTTGGTCACCTCCCTGATCAAGGCCATTATCCCAGATTGTTCAATTTGGCCAGGCGGCCAGCTCTAGGAAGTGTCTTGGTGGAGGATTGATGGAATGATGGAGGCCACTGTATTCTTGGGGACCTTCAATGCTGCGGAAATGTTTTGGTACCCTTCCCCAGATCTGTGCCTCGACACAATCCTGTCTCGGAGCTCTACGGACAATTCCTTCGACCACATGGCTTGGTTTTGCTCTGAAATGTCAACTGTGCGAGCTTATATAGAAAGGTGTGTGCCTTTCCAAATCATGTCCAATCAATCACATTTATTTATAAAGCCCTTTTTACATCAGCAGATGTCACAAAGTGCTATACAGAAACCCAGCCTAAAACCCCAAACAGCAAGCAATGCAGATGTAGAATCAATTGAACTGACCACAGGTGGACTCCAATTTTAACATTTACATTTATGTCATTTAGCAGACGCTCTTATCCAGAGCGACTTACAAATTGGTGCATTCACCTTATAGCCAGTGGGATAACCACTTTACAATATTATTATTTAAAAAAAAAAATTGGGTGGGGTAAGGGGGGGTAGAAGGATTACTTTATCCTATCCCAGGTATTCCTTAAAGAGGTGGGGTTTCAAGTGTCTCCGGCAGGTGCTGAGTGACTCCGCTGTCCTGGCGTCGTGAGGGAGCTTGTTCCACCATTGGGGTGCCAGAGCAGCGAACAGTTTTGACTGGGCTGAGCGGGAACTGTGCTTCCGCAGAGGTAGGGGGGCTAGCAGGCCAGAGGTGGATGAACGCAATGCCCTCGTTTGGGTGTAGGGACTGATCAGAGCCTGAAGGTACGGAGGTGCCGTTCCCCTCACAGCTCCGTAGGCAAGCACCATGGTCTTGTAGCAGATGCGAGCTTCAACTGGAAGCCAGTGGAGTGTGTGGAGGAGCGGGGTGACGTGAGAGAACTTGGGAAGGTTGAACACCAGACGGGCTGCGGCATTATGGATGAGTTGTAGGGGTTTAATGGCACAGGCAGGGAGCCCAGCCAACAGCGAGTTGCAGTAATCCAGACGGGAGATGACAAGTGCCTGGATTAGGACCTGTGCCGTACTCTCTGAATGTTGTAGAGTATGAACCTACAGGATCGGGTCACCGCCTTGATGTTAGCGGAGAATGACAGGGTGTTGTCCAGGGTCACGCCAAGGCTCTTTGCACTCTGGGAGGAGGACACAATGGAGTTGTCAACCGTGATGGCGAGATCATGGAACGGGCAGTCCTTCCCCGGGAGGAAGAGCAGCTCCATCTTGCCGAGGTTCAGCTTGAGGTGGTGATCCGTCATCCACACTGATATGTCTGCCAGACATGCAGAGATGCGATTCGCCACCTGGTTATCAGAAGGAGGAAAGGAGAAGATTAGTTGTGTGTCGTCTGCGTAGCAATGATAGGAGAGGCCATGTGAGGATATGACAGAGCCAAGTGACTTGGTTTATAGCGAGAATAGAAGAGGGCCTAGAACTGAGCCCTGGGGGACACCAGTGGTGAGAGCACGTGGTGCGGAGACAGATTCTCGCCACGCCACTTGGTAGGAGCGACCTGTCAGGTAGGACGCAATCCAAGAGTGAGCCGCGCCGGAGATGCCCAACTCGGAGAGGGTGGAGAGGAGGATCTGATGGTTCACAGTATCAAAGGCAGCAGACAGGTCTAGAAGGACAAGAGCAGAGGAGAGAGAGTTAGCTTTAGCAGTGCGGAGAGCCTCCGTGACACAGAGAAGAGCAGTCTCAGTTGAATAACCAGTCTTGAAACCTGACTGGTTTGGATCAAGAAGGTCATTCTGAGAGAGATAGCAAGAGAGTTGGCTAAAGATGGCACGCTCAAGAGTTTTGGGGAGAAAAGAAAGAAGGGATACTGGTCTGTAGTTGTTGACATCGGAGGGATCGAGTGTAGGTTTTTTGAGAAGGGGTGCAACTCTCGCTCTCTTGAAGACGGAAGGGACATAGCCAGCGGTCAAGGATGAGTTGATGAGCGAGGTGAGGTAAGGGAGAAGGTCTCCAGAAATGGTCTGGAGAAGAGAAGAGGGGATAGGGTCAAGCGGGCAGGATGTTGGGCGGCCGGCCGTCACAAGTCGCAAGATTTCATCTGGAGAGAGAGGGGAGAAAGAAGTCAAAGCATAGGGTAGGGCAGTGTGAGCAGGACCAGCCGTATCATTTGACTTAACAAACGAGGATCGGATGTCATCAACCTTCTTTTCAAAATGGTCAAATGTCATCCACAGAGAGGGAGGAGGGGGAGGGGAGGAGGATTCAGCAGGGAGGAGAAGGTGGCAAAGAGCTTCCTAGGGTTAGAGGCAGATGCTTGGAATTTAGAGTGGTAGAAAGTGGCTTTAGCAGCAGAAACAGAGGAAGAAAATGTAGAGAGGAGGGAGTGAAAAGATGCCAGGTCCGCAGGGAGTCTAGTTTTCCTCCATTTCCGCTCGGCTACCCGGAGCCCTGTTCTGTGAGCTCGCAATGAGTCGTCAAGCCATGGAGCAGGAGGGGAGGACCTAGCTGGCCGGGAGGATAGGGGTCATAGAGAGTCAAATGATGCAGAAAGGGAGGAGAGGAGGGTTGAGGAGGCAGAATCAGGAGATTGGAGGGAGAAGGATTGAGCAGAGGGAAGAGATGATAGGATGGAAGAGGAGAGAGTAGCGGGAGAGAGAGAGCGAAGGTTGCGACGGCGCATTACCATCTGAGTAGGGGCAGAGTGAGTAGTGTTGGAGGAGAGCGAGAGAGAAAAGGATACAAAGTAGTGGTCGGAGACTTGGAGGGGAGTTGCAGTGAGATTAGTAGAAGAACAGCAACTAGTAAAGATGAGGTCAAGCATATTGCTTGCCTTGTGAGTAGGGGGGGACGGTGAGAGGGTGACGTCAAAAGAGGAGAGGAGTGGAAAGAAGGAGGCAGAGAGAAATGAGTCAAAGGTAGGCGTAGGGAGGTTAAAGTGACCCAGAACTGTGAGGGGTGAGCCATCCTCAGGAAAGGAACTTATCAAGGCGTCAAGCTCATTGATGAACTCTCCAAGGGAACCTGGAGGGCGATAAATGATAAGAATGTTAAGCTTGAATGGGCTAGTGACTGTGACACAAGTTGTAGAATCATCTCAAGGATGACCAATGGAAACAGGATAGACCTGAGCTCAATTTCAAGTCTCATAGCAAAGGATCTGAATACTTATGTAAATAAGGTATTTCTGTTTTCTAAAAACCTGTTTTCGCTTTGTCATTTTGGGGTATTGTGTGTAAATTGATGAGGGGAAAACATTATTTAATCAATTGTAGAATATGGCTGTAATGTAACAAAATATGGAAAAGTGGTCTTAATACTTTCCGAATGCACAGTATATGAACAGAAATGTAAAACACTCTGTTTTATAGCATTTTCACTTTAGTTCACTTTATATCACAAACTGATTACAAAAAAGAAATAGTAGCATGGCGTAAAAAAGAAAAACGTGGGTGGAAAGTATACAAACTGTACTAAAGTGAAACATCAAGCATGTGTCTGCTCAAGTCAAGATCTTGGACAAGATAGAGGAAAGACTACAGTACCTGTTTTAACTAGTGTCCAAACACACCTATACACTGTCTGTTTGACAGATCATATGTCACCCAATTAAAGAGCTGTGAATAAGTACATTTAAGTACAGCCCTATTATATACAGTACAAAGGTGAAGTTATCACACTGATCACTACAGTGAGTAACACTTTTTCAAGGGAGCGTGTTAAGGTTAAAAGTGTTTATTTGTTTCATGCAAAATACCTGAAGAACCTGGAAATGTGATGTTCTGTCTTGATGCAAATGCACAAATTAAATGGCATGCAAAGGTTAATGCAAAATACTGGGAGTATCCGGGCTGAATACAAATATGCAAACGTCATAGAGAGAGAAAACATAAACTTTCAACTGTCACACTTCAACTCCAATTCCAACTTAACCTTAAGATTATAATGGTAGAAGTATGCTAATATTGACTTTGGAAAATGTTAAACAACTTGTACTAACAGAGTGGTATCGGCAGCAGAAAAGGACAGGAGAGAGACAAACAGGTTTCTGTTGATTTGCCACCTGACACCTGATTTTCCTAAATATTATATGCCTATGAAATGAAGACACCACAGGAACTCACCAAACACACACAGGGCCACCTGTGAGGTTTCACTGTCTTATATAAACTGTGCAAATTATGCATGTGGTATTAAAGCGCTCATCTCTTCTAACCTCCCCTAACCACACACCATACTGACTAGGCCTAATCAGCCAACCACAAGCTAATGTCAGGGAAATAATCTGGAAAAGTCTGACAAGAACCTGTCACCTGGTAATTTCCATATGTTTGTGTCTTGTTTCAAACATCTTCAATGTGTACCACAAATGTAAATGCACCTCCGGCATCATGTTGAAAGCAACGGCACACCTGTGGTGAGGCTTGTACTCTGGCACAGGGCAGCCTGGCCCCACATCCTTTATTCACTACCCATCATAACACAGGAGACACAGGAGGTACAGACAGACTGAGAGTACAGCTCTCCCCATCGACTCGCTGGACTGTGAAGGTATTCGTACAGGTGAGCTTCTCCATTGCTCTGTAACTGGTTGTATGGCAAATTACCTTTCTCTTGCAGCATCAGCTGACTCCTCACTTTCTCCTGGCCTCTGTCTCTTCTTTCTCAGTCCCTCTCACCCTTTCTCTTTCTCTCAATGCATCTTTCTACACTGGCATTCACCGATGCCTGCTTTAAGTTCTCTGTGATGTTTGCCATGACCCCTAGCCTGTCTCCCTGCCCTCAGCAGCATGGTGGTGCCATTGAGACTGCTGGTTCTATGCTGGGTGTTTGGAGCAGGTTGTAGTCAGAGCTCTCCACCATGGTTCCAGAACATCACTACCAACCTGTTCAACTCCTCAGGAGACATCCTCCTCGGGGGGCTCTTCCCCATTAACGAGCTCACCAGCAACCTGAGCTACAGAGTAAAGCCGGACAACATTAGCTGTGACAGGTACAGTAACTCAAGACCCACTTATTAATGTACTTTTTGCTGAATATGAATTTTGCCCTATGTCAAGTGTCTTTATACTGTAATCATATTAGCAGATTCTGCATATCTCATTCTAATTAGTGCTTGCTTCTCATTCGTTAGAATTATTAGAATTATTGAATTATAGTACAGCAGTAACAGCGCCTCCCTGTATGTGCTTGGCCTGGCAGAATTAATGAGCATGGGCTAGGTATGGCCCTTGTGATGAAGTACACAGTGGATGAGATCAACGCCAACTCCACCCTACTCCCTGGCATCAGGCTGGGCTATGAGATCTTCGACACCTGCAAGCAGTCTGCCGTCATCGTGAAGCCCACTGTCCTCTTCCTCACTGAGGACTCCAGCCGAGAGCTGGCCATCAAGTGTAACTACACAGACTACGTATCCCGTGTGGTGGCTGTCATCGGCCCATCCACCTCAGAGATGGTCTCAGTTATAGGACAACTACTGGGATTCTTCCTCATGCCACAGGTTAGTTTGGTCACATGATGGAATGCTATCTTTCAATGCAAACAATGTCGTCCTCATATATATAATGTGAAGCAAAATGAAGATTTCAGATTTGTCCATTGTTTGACAATCCCTCGAATGTGATTTTCATTGAACTGTGTGCTGTGGTGAAACACATGAAAATGCGAGATACAACTGCAGTGCAGACATAATTGTGTTTTTTGTATCTATTGTTGCTACTTACAGTGCCTTGCAAAGTATTCATACCCCTTGGAGTTTTTCCTATTTTGTTGCATTACAACCTGTAAATTAAATAGATTTTTATTTGGATTTCATGTAATGGACATACACAAAATAGTCCAAATTGGTGAAGTGAAATGAAAAAATAACTTGTTTCAAAAAATTCTAAAAAATAAATAACGGAAAAGTGGTGTGTGCATATGTATTCACCCCCTTTGCTATGAAGACCCTAAATAAGATCTGGTGCAACCAATTACCTTCAGAAGTCACATAACTAGTTAAATAAAGTCCACCTGTGTGCAATCTAAGTGTCACATGATCTGTCACATGATCTCAGTATATATACACCTGTTCTGAAAGGCCCCAGAGTCTGCAACACAACTAAGCAAGGGGCACCACCAAGCAAGCGGCACCATGAAGGCCAAGGAGCTCTCCAAACAGGTCAGGGACAAAGTTGTGGCGAAGTACAGATCAGGGTTGGGTTATAAAAAAATATCTGAAACTTTGAACATCCCACGGAGCACCATTAAATCCATTATTAAAAAATTGAAAGAATATGGCACCACAACAAACCTGCCAAGGGAGGGCGCAAACCCAATACCGCTCATCACCGGGATGTTTTTCATAGGCAGGGACTGGGAAACTGGTCAGAATTGAAGGAATGATGCATGGCGCTAAATACAGGGAAATTCTTGAAGGAAACCTGTTTCAGTCTTCCAGAGATTTGAGACTGGGACGGAGGTTCACCTTCCAGCAGGACAATGACCCTAAGCATACTGCTAAAGCAACACTCGAGTGGTTTAAGGGGGAAAATGTAAATGTCTAGGAATGGCCTAGTCAAAGCCCAGACCTCAATCCAATTGAGAATCTGTGTTATGACTTAAAGATTGCTGTACACCAGCGGAACCCGTCCAACTTGAAGGAGCTGGAGCAGTTTTGCCTTGAAGAATGGGCAAAAATGTGCCAAGCTTATAGAGACATCAAAGTATTGACTTTGGGGGGGTGAATAGTTTCACAATAACAAATATTTTGCATCTTCAAAGTGGTAGGCATGTTGTAAATCAAATGATACAAACCCCCCCAAATTTAATTCCAGGTTGTAAGGCAACAAAATAGGAAAAATGCCAAGGGGGGTGAATACTTTCACAAGCCTCTGTATGTCTCATTACCATCTGCCCTCTGTCCTCTGTAGATCAGCTACCTCGCAACTAGTGACAAGTTCAGTGACAAGAGTATGTACCCATCGTTCCTGCGCACCGTGCCCAGTGACAAGAGGCAGGTGGAGGCCATGGTGCATCTGCTGAACAGGTTTCAGTGGAACTGGGTGGCCGTGGTGGGCAGTGAGGATGAGTATGGACGCCAGGGCCAGCGCCAGTTCTCCACCCTGGCAGCAAAGAGCTCCATTTGTGTTGGGTACGAGGGGTTAATCCCTACCTACAGCGACCCACAGCCAGTGGTCAGAGAGATCCTGGACCACATCGCAGAGACCAAGGTGGGAGTGGTGGTGGTCTTTTCCCTCTCCCAGCCTGCCAGAGCCTTCTTCACTGAGGTCAGTGAGATAGCAAGTCACATAAGAGTTCTAGAGACTTCTTTTTAATCTCACAAGCTTTTCAAAAAACTTTATGCAGCCATTGGTTTAACTGTTTTTAAAGTACAGTAATGCAACTCATTTACAGTATCTAAATTCAGATTAGAACATTTGTCTGTAAATAGCAACGTGCATGCCCCGCCCACCTGAGGATCTGTCTTTTTCAGCTATCTGTTTCCTGTGTTTGAGGGGTGCAAAATCCACTTGTCACTTAAATCTCGCTGGATTGATTGCTTTAATTTTACTCCTGTGACTCTTTCATACTCTTGCTTGTGCCTGTCGTTTTCCCCCGTTAATGTTACCACCACGGAAATGTTTGTAATGACCTGTCAAACACAGCCCGGTAATGGCTGAAATGGGCCCAATGGAATACATTGGCTTTCCGTTGCATTTATAAGAACCCTAAAGTTTCATCTGGGATTTAACGCACCGTCGTGACACATACATCACAAGAAAGAGAAGAAAGATAACTTTATTTTGATGTGTGTTCATTTTTGTGGAATTGAAAAAAGTAATAATTGAATAGTGTTTACAAATGAGATGCGCTGAAATTAAAACAACTTCCGAAAATGAACACTCTGATTATAGTGATATTATGTCTGATCTCGCAAACAATGTAAAGTTTGTATAGACAGGTGTAATCTAGAGCCAAGCATGTTGATTTTGAATCCGGGGGTATCCTGCTATTGACACACTTGTTGAATTATGCAAGAGAACGTTGAAATCAACAGTAATTAATGGGGCAGTCTAGACAACGTAGATGAGTGCAGGTAGGGTAGACAGAGCAATTGTTTGGTGATTGCAGCCCTGTTACACCCCTTTATGTTAATGTTTTCATATATGCAAATATACCCAGTGTATTTATGGAACTGAGGCACATGTCATTTTCTTTATTTTAACACATAATATTTAAAAAATACCTGATGCAATAAGAAAATGTATATATGAGTGCATTCTAAGCTAAAAAGTTACATTTGACAATAAATGTAATACTTGAATTCCCACCAAAATCCCTGAACTTCATTCATTATTTGTCTGTGTCAGTAAAATGTTTTATGTGCTATATATAATTCAGTCAATATTTACATTTTAGTCATTTAGCAGACGCTCTTATCCAGAGCGACTTACAGTTAGTGAGTGCATACATTATATATTTTTTATATATATATATATATATTTTTTTTACTGGCCCCCGTGGGAATTGAACCCACAACCCTGGCGTTGCAAACGCCATGCTCAACCAACTGAGCTAGATCCCTGCCGGCCATTCCCTCCCCTACCCTAGACGACGCTGGGCCAATTGTGCGCCGCCCCATGGGTCTCCCGGTCGCGGCCGGCTACGACAGAGCCTGGATTCGAACCAGGATCTCTAGTGGCACAGCTAGCACTGCAATACAGTGCCTTAGACCACTGCGCCACTCGGGAGATAAATATATATATCTGATAGATTATTTAAAAAACGCAAGTTTGGAGTTACTTAATCTATTTTCCAACTATTGTATTTACTAGAATTGTTTTCAAAACATTTTAACAATTTCAATGACCATTGCTACGATACCAACATGCTGTTTGTGATCAGGTGATCAGGAGGAATCTGACAGGGGTGTGGGTGGCCAGCGATGATTGGGCCCTGCACAGAGACGTATCAACTCTCCCAAACATCCACACTGTGGGCACTATCATCGCCTTCGCAGTCCAGAGCCAGACCCTGACCCTGCTCACACCCTACACCAGGGAACTCTTCTCCAGGATCAGAGAGGAGATGGCCAGGCAGTCCATACAAGGTCCAGATACAGAGTCAACCTATGGTATGAACCAGTGCCCAGACTGCTGGAACCTGTCCCCAGACAACATGAGTCTAGTGACAGAGCCCATACTGCAGAGGACAGCTTTCAGTGTCTATGCTGCCATCTACAGTGTTGCACACGCACTGCATAACATGCTCCGGTGCAATGCCAATAGCTGCCTTAGGGGCGCTAAAAGCAAAGTCTATCCCTGGCAGGTACATCTCCCTCACACAGTTACTTTTATTTCAGACAATGATTATGTGAGACTGTGCAAGGATACTTTTACAAATGTAATTAACAACACTCTCCCCCTGCAGCTGTTGGAGGTGCTGAAGAAGGTAAACATCAGTCTAAATGGAAGTCATTTTGAGTTTGACAGTAATGGAAACCCAAACATTGGCTACAACGTACTACAGTGGGTCTGGGGAAACAACAGTCTGAGTTTCAAAGATGTCGGCACTTTCTATGAGAACCTGTCAATTAACAACACCCTCATCCAATGGCATACAGGCAGTACTAAGGTATTCTCCGCCCCATCTCCTCATCAAACATAATGTTGGATTTTATCGGCTTTTCACATTTTTACCTAAGCCTTTTTAATGTGCCAGCTACGCTCCACAAAGTGGTAACTTTTCTAGGGTATGTTCAGCTAGAGTAGATTGCATTTTCCTTTTACGCACCAAACTCCCTTTTCACCTCTATTGGTTAAAGCTGCTAAAATATTTGACATTCAAAAATCTTAATTTAAGTGTTTACCACATGAGGTTGGTGGCACCTTAATTGGGGAGGACGGGCTCGTGGTAATGGCTGGAGCGGAATAGATGGAATGGTATCAAATACATAAAAAACATGGTTTTCATGTGTTTGATGCCATTCCATTCGCTCCGTTCCGGACGTTATTATGAGCCGTCCTCCCCTCAGCAGCCTCCTGTGGTGTTGACCACCACATCCTCTCTGACCCCACCTCTGCTGCAGGCCCCTGAGTCTACCTGTTCCTCTGAATGTGGCCCTGGCCAGGTGCACAGAGTGAAAGGCTTCCATTCCTGCTGCTATGACTGTATTGAATGTTTACCGGGCACCTTCCAGAATGGCACAAGTGGGTGATTCACACTCACAGACATGACTTCTATCAATCTATGCATTAAAAAGGCCATCACTCTTGTGATTTGGTTTTGTAGCTTTCTTTGATATTTTCCTTGAGCAATATGCTGAAACTAACAGATGTTTCAGCTTTACACCTTTGTCACACACTGCCAACATTGTGTTTAAAAAATGCCCAATACATTTACAAAATTGAAAGATGTGAGTGGTGGTCTTATAAGACTTTCTACTCTTATCTGGTCCTATCATTCTAACCACATCTCTGCTCCCTCTCTATCTCCAAGTGGACATCCAGTGTACCCAGTGTCTAGAGGGCCAGTGGTCCCTGGTACGTAGCACCAACTGCACCGAACCTACCTTTGACTTCCTTACCTGGAGCCAGCCTGAGTCCCTGGTGTTGCTGCTGGCCATACTGGTGCTGCTGGCCTGTCAGGGAGCTGTGGGGTTCCTGCTCCTGCAGCACCGGGGGTCTCCACTGGTGAGGGCCTCTGGGGGGCCCCTGGGTGGTGTGGCCCTGCTCAGCCTGATGGGGGGCTGTGCCTGCCTGCTGCTGTTCCTGGGCCAGCCGGGGGAGGTGGTGTGTCGTCTGCAGCTTCCCCTCAACTCCATTTTCCACACGGTCACCCTGTCCACCATCCTAGCCAACTCACTGCAGGTAAGGCCTAGACCTGTAGAACACAAAACAGACATGAATCATGCAGATATTATACAGCTAAATAGGTTTTCTTTGATTTAAAAAATCCAACAGTTCAGGAGATATTTGGATGAATATGAGTGAGGAAGACCCAGAGTATCGTGAATCATGGAATAGCTAATTCTCTGTCCTCCTCCCTCAGATTGTGTATGTGACAGAGTTCCCTGGGAAAGTTCATTTTCATCTGGATACACTAAGAGGCCCTGGAGGCTGGCTGCTGGTATTGGCCTGCTGTGGTGTGCAGGCAGGGATCTGTGGCTACTATGTCCAGGAAGGGCCCTCTCTATCCCAGTACCTGGCCAAGATGAAGGTGACCTTTGTGAGGAAGTTCCTGCGATGCCCTGTGGAGCCCATTTTAGGTCTGGGCCTGATGCAGGGCTTCAATGGCCTCCTGGCCCTCATATCCTTCATGTGCACCTTCATGGCTGTGAAGACCGTTCGACAGTACAACCTGGCCAGAGATATCACCTTCTCCACCCTGACCTACTGTGTGGTTTGGGTGGTCTTTATCCCCATCTACACCAGTCTGAATGACAAGGATCGCTCCATCATTCATGTATCTGTCAGTTTGCTCAGTAACATGGGGCTGATGGTGGCCTACTATCTGCCAAAATGTCACCTGCTGCTGAAGAAACCTGAGCTCAACACAGCAGAGCACTTCCGTACCTTCCTCGAGGGGGCTGAAGCAACTCCTCAGGAGGAACATGACCAGGGACCTGGAGGGGCGGGACAGGGATCTGCAGGGGGGGAACAGGGATCTGCAGGGGGGGGACAGGGATCTGCAGGGGAGGGACAGGGATCTGCAGGGAAGGGACAGGGACAGGACCTGGGACGGTGAACTTTATTCTGTTTAATGTTTCAATAATGTATTCAGTTTAGTTTGTTATACATTTCATGTGCATGTAGACTAGTTTGATTGAATGATTGCAATTATATGTCTCTGCTGAAATTGTGAAACAATGCATTATAAAGACTTGACAATTGAGGATGTGTGTGACTAAGTTAAACCAGATGTACTAAAAGGTGCAGCATACTGCACTTGACTGCTACGATCAGTGATGTAGTTTGCTAGATCACCCACCAGAGGACGCAATCATACAATTTACCAGCCGTTTACAGACTGAAAAAGCCATTAGGTAAAAATATCAGTCAGTCAAGTAGGGCTTTTGCTGAATAGTATATAGGCCTAATGTCTTTTACAGTAAAGCAACATCCAATTCCATTATAATGGGTTGGCATGATCGTCTTATTCGTGAAAATAAACAATATGCAGCAAAGGCATACTAGGCACAGTCACAGTAATTTTCGCCATAGGCTACTATTACAATGTTATGCTCATAGACCAATGTGTAGCCTATAGGTTTTATACAGCCTATAGGTCTTATACTATGCATAGGCCTATAGCATTTTTGATAAACGAATTGTGGTGAGAATCAATTGAGTGATGTAGTATTTATGTATGTGTTAATCTAAGTGAATTTGAACTAGGCAACAGATAATTGAATATGGAAGAGGTTTAATAAAGCCCACTCAATTGTTCTGATTAGCCTGCCGTTGGCCTCGGGCATGTTTGACGTTTTCTTTGTCTATTTCAACCTGTGAGTGTGAAGATGTAAACGGTAAAATACCGAACCATCACAATTTTCCTAGTCTACTGAATAAATTAAACGACAAACCAAATCCGTCAACTATAAATGACAACACTAAGCATTTTATTATTTTTACTCCAAGTTCTGCAATGTCATGAGCTTACCTTGACGTTTTCTGCCGTTGAAAGGTAGGTGTAATGAATCTATGCGCTTATAGTCCCGTAGGCATATGTATGGTTTGGTGAAGCTAAAAACTGATACATCCTCTGGTTATTAACTGGGATAGGTCACCCCTGTGACCAACTCCACACATGACATGGATGTGGAAACTGCATAAAGCTGAAAGCCCGTGCCCTCGAACATAACCAGCTCTTGATAATCCGCCCATTAATATACAGTGTCCATCCGTCATAGGCCTAATGTGCACAGTAATATCTAACGGTGTTAATGCATGATAAAGATTCACTCAATGAATCCGATTTCGTGAGCAATTTGGAATAATAAGCACTCGAAATTATTCATATTAAGAAGAAACCTTTTTATTGCTTTGAAAAAAATGAAACTTCAATTGAGGCCAGTGCTTAAATTATCTTCTGAATAATTGAACGAAATTAATTTAAATAGTGATAATATGATCATTTAAACATGAAACACAACATGGAGTGTTTTGTACAAAAGCATTCGCCTATAGGCATTGGAAAACTTTAATCCCTTATAGTAAGAATGATAAAAACAACATTTTGGTCTATTGCCTACTCCTCTTGATAAAAGCATCCCCTGATTTCAGAATGGAGTTTTGGAATGAAGATAAACACACTATTTACTACATGGCTGCAGGTATGATTGTGTGATGAAGTCTGGTATTGTAGTGAGCCATCTATTGTTACCCGAACGAGACACAAGACAAAAGGAAAAACTTCACATAGTCCATATGTTCTATTCTTCTGGGCCCGCTGATTACGTCGCGTGATAAAAGTTGTTTCTTACAATAAACTAATCTGGGGAATCAGAGAGCGCTAATGAATCCATTAGGGATAGCGCATCTCTTGCTCTGATGCGGTCCCTATCGCCCCGACCACTAAATGTTTTTATTGGGAAACAACCGGCATCCAACATGTTTATCAAGTCCGGTGGAGGCAAGAACCACCAGCCACCCGGGAACTGGAGCAGCAGCAGGAAAGGTGCGACCATAAACGTGACCTCTCTTCCGCAGTGCCTTTAGCGTGTTTAAAGCTAGTTAATGTTTTGAGTTTTAATAATAATCCTCTAAACTAATAGCGACCTTTGTTTAGGAAGGCGACCTTTGCCTAAACCTGAACACTTGCCAAAATTGAGTATTTAACTTATGTCGCAATATAGCGCAGACGTGTAACCATGCCAGCCCAGGACCTCCACATCCGGCTTCTTCACTTGCGGGATCGTCAGAGACCAGCCACCCAGACAACTGATGAAACTGTGGGTTTGCACAACCAAATAATTTCTGCACAAACTGTCAGAAACCATTTCAGGGAAGCTCATCTGTGTGCTCTACGTCCTCACCAGGGTCTTGACCTGACTGCAGTTCGGCGTCGTAACCAACTTCAGTGGGCAAATGCTCACCTTCGATGGCCACTGGCACGCTGGAGAAGTGTGCTCTTCATAGATGAATCCCGGTTTCAACTGTACCAGGTAGATGGCAGACAGTTTGAATGGCGGGTGAGAGGTTGGTTGATGTCAACGTTGTGAACAGAGTGCCACATGGTGGCAGTGGGGTTATGGTATAGGCAGGCATAAGCTACGGACAACGAACACAATTGTATTTTATCGATGGCAATTTGAATGCACAGAGACATGACGAGATCCAGAGGCCCATCCTGCCCGAACACCTGCTCTTTCCATGACATATATTGACCAGGTGAATCCAGGTGAAAGCTATGATCCCTTATTGATGTCACGTGATAAATCCACTTCAATCAGTGTTGATGAAGGGGAGGATTTTTAAGCCTTAAGACAATTGAGACATGGATTGTGTATGTGTGCCATTCAGAGGGTGAATGGGCAAGACAAAAGATTGAAGTGCCTTTGAACAGGGTACGGTAGTAGGTGCCAGGGCACCAGGTTTTGTCAAGAACTGCAACGCTGCTGGGTTTTTCACGCTCAACAGTTTCCTGTGTGTATCGAGAATGGTCCACCACCCAAAGGACATCCAGCCAGCTTGACACAACTGTGGGAAGCATTGGAATCAACATGGGGGGGGGGGTGCTCCTAATATTCGTATACTCAGTGTATATAATAATTATAATTATAATAATACATTTTATTTGGCAGACATCTTACAATAGAATTAGGCCTACATAAAAGCAAGTCCAGTACATAAAATCATGAAATCAATTGCATCAATCAAAGTACATTTTTTATCAAAGGACCAGACAAAACAGGACAGATACAAAGAGGATGGAGGGGTTGGGTATGTCACGTAAACAGGAATTAAATCGTGCCAGTCTCATAAACACCTACAAAAATGTATTAATCATGAAAGTAGGCCTATAGCGTAAATGTTCATAAAAAATAAAAAAAATCACCAAACTTTTTACACTTGTGAAAAAAATCTATATTTTCGTCAGCCCATGACTGCTGCCAATGGGTTTCTAGGAAGGTTAGTTAGAGCCCCGAAGAGAAAGTGCAATTCCATCACGTCCACATTGGGTGAGCTGTCTGGACTGGACTCTCGTTATAGCAGGGGGCCCAACTTTCATGTCCCCCCCACATTCTGAAATTGCATTTTTGTCTACCCCAGTTTTATCGTTGGAATGTGATACAAAACGTGGCAATGGTGTGCTTTAGGACCATGCGGATGCCTCCAAGCGGTCAGGTAGGCTGTTTGGAGTGTTTATCCGGCTGGATAAAAAAAATTTTATGTCCCCCCCACTTCTAAAACCAAAGTTGCGCCCCTGCGTTATAATAGGTTCAGGAAGGTTGTTTCGCCTAGCCGAGTTCTGCTAGAAGCAAACCGAACCTATGTATACGGACGCCTTTACCCGTAGGCATCACGCGAAAAGCTAGCAATTCGACAGCACAAGTGGCGACACTTCAGGCTAAGGAGTAAGTTTCACACATCCCCATGTGCTACATTCACCTCTAAAACTTACTCAACAGCGACCCCAGCGTTGAGCTCAGCACAACTGCAGATCCGGGTCACAATTGGGTATGAATGAGGGAGTTCGATTAAACTGAACCGCAGAGCACTGGGCTATGACCTGTGACGTGAACAGGCAAAAGCAGTGAGGGAGGAGCGCCCTCTCAATCTAACAGTAATCTGTGCCGCCCGGTCATGTTGTCAACAAGGCAGCATGATACATAATTCAGAAACATACAATATCTCTTTTCCATAAAATATATGTTGGAATATTCAAACTAGTTTTTATCGGGAAAGGCAGATAAAGCGTGTTTATCAAAAGCAATCACTTTTGCATGTGAAGACATAGAGTCCTACTCATTACTCCACGTACTTAACCTATATCACTTTTGTTTTGAGCCGACTTCAACGTCAGCCAAAACGGAGCACCTGGCTCAAGTCTGGGAGGCAGCCCGGTTCTAAAACGAATGCAATCACCTGAGGCAGCCCCGGGGAATTCATCGAATCCCCTCAATAGATGGGTTGGTTGTTTAGCAACAATACTGACACGTGCGCAATTCTGTGACAAAACAGAAGGCGTTGGCTTACATTGTTGACAACATGTAAACTATATTCTGTCTCATTTACATTTTAGTCATTTTCATCCAGAGCGACTTACATTATATTTTATTATTCATACTGGCCCCTCCGTGGGAATCGAACCCACAACCCTGGCGTTGCAAATGTTATGCTCTACCAACTGAGCTACATCCCTGCCGGCCATTCCCTCCCCTACCTTGGACAACTTGTGCGCCGCCCCATGGGTCTCCCGGTCACGGCCGGCTACGACAGAGCCTGGATTCGAACCAGGATCTTTAGTGGCACAGCTAACGCTGCGATGCAGTGCCTTAGACCACTGCGCCACTCAGGAGGTTATGTTTATTGAAAACATAAATACATCTGCACAATGAGCACTTGTTGTCTCTCAAATACATTGTTACAGTTGTTGGTTAGCTAGCTAGCGAATTTTAACACCCGAAACAATACATGGTATCAAGAACAAGATAAAACTAGTTGAAACGAGCCACCTACGATTCCCCACATGGCAGCTTCTTGTCATTGTTGCTAGCTATATGGCCATCCAGAATCACAACA